CACACTGTGCATGCTACCCTTAGGAGATATCATTAGGAAACATGGAATTAGCTTTCACTGTTTTGATGATACTCTGCTGTATATTTTTACAAAACCTAACGAAACTTACCAATTCACAAAATTAACGGAATGCATTGCTGATATAAAAAAATTGTATGACTAGTTGTAATTGTATTTCCTACTGAATTCCGACAATAACAGAGAAACAGAAGAGAAGAAAAATCTTCCAGACGTAACAGCCTAGAATACTGTCTAACACTTGATGGCTGCTCTGTTAAGTCTTCGTCATCGGTTAGGAGTCTGGGTGTGTGCGCGCTCTTCTTTGATACCAATCTCTCATTTGAAAGTCATGTGTCTAGCATCTGTAAAACCACATTCTTTCATCTTAAAAATATATATCTAAATTAGGTCACGTCTTGTAAGGTGTAGTAATATACTTGTTTACAACCTAATTTCAGTCCCTTTCAATATAAAAGTTTTTGCTTCTGACTCACTCATAAAGATCTAACGGTACAATAATGTAACTTTCACAGAAGTTGAAATCACAAACACTAACAGACTCTTTCTCAATAGCAAATACAGCATATTATTTACATAAAATATATTTGTTGAACAATAATTTTCAAATAAACAATAACAGCCATTCTAAAAGTGTAAGACATTTGAACAACACCAACAGGAAATAAACACAAGCAAACAGTTCAGTCAAACATACAAAAGCAGCACTCTAGTTAGTACAAGATTTAAGCTAAATATAAAGTTATGAAACCTTTAGCCAAACTGATTTGCTCTGGAAAAAGTAATAGATTAATAAGACCAAAGATTGCCTGTTTGATATACCCAAAACTAATTATGTATCATGTTTAACTACTATCTACTTATAATTCCTGAAGGACTGACCGGGATAAAGCTGTTCAGCTGGTTCATACCGAAGGCCTGGAGCTCACATCTCCCAAAACGTCTAAACGGATTATCAAACAATGAACATCTCCATTCTCCCACAGAACCTCAGCAGAGACACAGGAACCGGACCAGTCCTCACACAGACACTCGAGAACGGCCCGATCAACATATCTTCGAGATCTGAGCTCTGAGCTGCAATGCTGTCTGAGTCGTAACCGTGTTTGTTTGTTGGCCAGAGGAGAGCTGAACTAAACTGAGCTGAACTGAATTGAGCTGAACTGAACTGAACTGAACTGAGCTGATGTGAACTGAACTGAACTGAGCTGATGTGAACTGAGCTGAACTGAACAGAGCTGAACTGAACTGAGCTGAACTGAGCTGAACTGAACTGAGCTGAACTGAATTGAGCTGAACTGAACTGAACTAAACTGAACTGAACTGAGCTGAACTGAATTGAGCTGAACTGAACTGAGCTGAACTGAACTGAACTGAACTGAGCTGAACTGAACTGAACTGAATTGAGCTGAACTGAGCTGAACTGAGCTGAGCTGAGCTGAACTGAACTGAGCTGAGCTGAACTGAGCTGAACTGAATTGAGCTGAACTGAACTGAGCTGAACTGAACTGAACTGAATTGAGCTGAACTGAGCTGAGCTGAACTGAACTGAACTGAGCTGAACTGAACTGAGCTGAACTGAGCTGAGCTGAACTGAACTGAGCTGAACTGAGCTGAACTGAACTGAACTGAACTGAGCTGAGCTGAACTGAACTGAGCTGAACTGAGCTGAACTGAGCTGAACTGAATTGAGCTGAACTGAACTGAACTGAGCTGAACTGAACTGAACTGAGCTGAACTGAACTGAACTGAACTGAGCTGAGCTGATGTGAACTGAGCTGAACTGAATTGAGCGGAACTGAACTGAGCTGAACTGAACTGAGCTGAACTGAACTGAACTGAGCTGAACTGAGCTGAACTGAGCTGAACTGAGCTGAGCTGAATTGAGCTGAGCTGAACTGAGCTGAACTGAACTGAACTGAGCTGAGCTGAACTGAACTGAACTGAACTGAGCTGAGCTGAACTGAACTGAGCTGAGCTGAACTGAGCTGAACTGAACTGAGCTGAACTGAACTGAACTGAGCTGAGCTGAACTGAACTGAACTGAGCTGAACTGAACTGAACTGAGCTGAGCTGAGCTGAACTGAGCTGAGCTGAATTGAGCTGAACTGAACTGAACTGAGCTGAACTGAACTGAGCTGAACTGAACTGAGCTGAACTGAACTGAACTGAACTGAGCTGAACTGAACTGAACTGAGCTGAACTGAATTGAGCTGAGCTGAACTGAATTGAGCTGAACTGAACTGAGCTGAACTGAACTGAACTGAGCTGAGCTGATGTGAACTGAACTGAGCTGAACTGAACTGAGCTGAACTGAACTGAACTGAGCTGAACTGAATTGAGCTGAACTGAATTGAGCTGAGCTGAACTGAATTGAGCTGAACTGAACTGAGCTGAACTGAACTGAACTGAGCTGAACTGAATTGAGCTGAACTGAACTGAACTGAACTGAACTGAGCTGAACTGAACTGAACTGAATTGA